AATCAGTCCTCTGACAGAACAGCATTCATGAGGATAATTGTAGAGGGAGCTAAAGACTCATTAATTTATCTTCTTCAGAGTTTATGGGGTTTTGAAGGTAAATGTGTGACTTTGGCCAACAAAAGCCATGGCACATGTTATTTTCTTCATTATTTTCTCATCATATAGTGTATTTTATCTTAATGTCCCAAAATAAAGGTGAGAGATTATACAATCAAAATTAAAGACGTTTACATTTTCATTGACTTCAGTTAAACAACATTCAAATGGGCAAAATTCTAAAAGCATTTTTTGCATACTTCTTATTCATTAAAGGGTTAAAAAAGTCAAAACTGAAAAATGTTACAGCTTTGATTTTTGTATGACAGAATTGTATAAGATGATTTAGTTTAAAAATGACAGAATCCCCTCAAAATTTTCCCTAAAACGACAATTTTCCCAGCAAACAAATCTTGAAATCAGGGTATTTGCAACAGTGTTTGAGCCGTGGTACTTTGGATCGTGTAGGTTTGGCTTGTGATTGTTGGCAGGGCCTTAAAGTTCCAGTGTCTGCCGTCCATCAGGCTGTTGGCCACACTGTTTTAATGTGTTGCTGGCATACCCTCACAAAGTGCTTCAGCTGTTGTATCAACTGAACAAAATGGCTTGATGAAAAACTGGCATTGTTTCATTGTGCCATCCATGGCATTACGGCATATGTGATGCTGCTGCCTCTGGTAATTTTCATATGCATGTTCATATGTTACAGAGAAAATAAGGAGGTGGAACATCAGCTGTCACAGCAGAGCCTTTCAGTGTAGATATTACACAAAGTGATGTGATGAGGGATATTGGGATGCTCTATTTGATTTCATTAGAAAGAAAAATTAGATGAAACTCTTGATCCCGGAGGATGCTTTGGAGTACCTCTGGCAAATAGATGAAATGCTGTTTGATTTGTAGCTAAGACAGAACAGCTGATTAACAATGCAAATGTGTCACAAACAACATTTGGCTAAATAAATGACATTCCTTTTACTTGGAATGGGGGAAAAAAGAAAGAACTTTGGTTTTAAATGTATAAAGACCATCACTGCAACAATGTTGGAATAAGAACAGACATTTCTGTCATCTTAATATTTGATGATAAGTACTGTTTTGTGTGGTTAACAGACTGGGTAGCTTTGTTTAGAGCCAGGAACTCTCTAAACAGAGTATATGTTTGATTTCTATCCATTCCTCTGTCATCTCCATCAGGTGCAAAATATTCTAAATGCGTTGTCTTCAGAGGCTGTAAAATGATCTGATAATGACAAGGAATGTCATTACATATAAAGTGTAACAGAAAAGCAAAAATACGATAAGCATTCAAAGGACAATGTCAGCTTTGCATGTGCTCAATATCACTTTGATGTGGTACACTTTTGAACTAATGGCAAATCCTATGCATGGTGTTTTTTTTATGAAGACAATTGTGCCCGTTTTTCGCACAATTACAGATCACATTTGCCAGCCACAGACCCAGATTTGTTGTCACATGCTGCTCCGGTGTGAGTGGCTGTCAGGTTCTTCTTAACTCATCCGTAGCTGACAATCCTGCTTTATTGAGAATGG